CTTTAACCACAGGGGATGGACCAGCTCGTTGCTCACCTGAGCCAACGCAAACTGCAGCAGCAGATTCCTGCAGCAGGCAACTTATGTGGGGAAAGGGTAGAGTCCAGGATATCCCTGTGCTTCAGTCTGAATGTGCTACGTAAGGGTGCAAGGTCTTTCTTACTCTCCTGCACGGGACAGAGTTCAAAAAAACACTTCAACCCTTCATGGTTTAGATTTGCAGTAAGGTGATCTTTACATACTAAAAGGAAAATTAAACCAATGTGCTCCCTGTCTAAGTACCTCTGAGTTTTAGCTCTGTATTTCAAAAAGTCAAAAGGGGTGGGTGGGGGGGAGACAGGACTGGAATGTTTCAATCGTTTTATTTTGTTGCTGCCATTCAGAAATAACCCAGTGAGGTAACTGGGGAGAATGATGACTTTTAACATGCTAACCACTGACCATGCAACGTTTTCATCGGTGTAAATATAACTCCTTATTACTCTGCCACGGGTGCACTGAATCATACACCACTGAAGTCAGACTTTCTAAATATTCTGTATCTCACAGAAAAACATGCTAATGAAAGCGCTTTTAATTTTATGCAGTTGTTCTTTCTGAAACACTGCTGCCGTTTGCCCTGAGACATGGGACTGCTCGCAAAACCCATCGGCCAAGGAAGTACCCAACTAGCATTCCAAGAGCGTACTTGTGCAGGAGAAAAGCCTGGAGGTTCTCAAGGACCCACATCAGCACATTTGTATTCACATTCTCCTCAGCTCTGCGTTAATAAATCCTTCGTCACAGGCTGTGCACTAATTACAAAGTGCACCAGCCTCGGGAACCTGCAGCGAGCTACAGACCCGAGCGTTGCTTCATGTCACCGACAGCCCCTCTGTGACTGGGCGCTGCACAACTCGAAGGCTCCATCTGCTACACAGACATTAGATTCTCAACCAGAAGAATGAGCCGAGGCGAGGCAGATGACATGAATTTGCCAGTTATTTTTCATGCTGATTTTGCATTTCAGCGAGAGCACCCTGTATAATTACTTGAATGGTGCTGAAAGACGGCAGAGATCAGTGCAACATGTAACTGTTGGCTCCTCAAGTCTTCCCTGGAACAAGCTGCTCAAATGCTTGTTCTTTAAATCAAATACTAACTAGGGGCACAGGCATTAATGAAGTGGTACCCTATTCTAATGCTGATGTCCTCAGCTAGGGAAACAAGAAATCTTTCTATGTGTTTAAGGCCAGAATGAGCTACTTGTGTTCACCTTGTTTGAACTCCCACGCTGAGAGCCAGAGCCACACACACACCCCCACAAATTCCTGTATCCAGCCCAACAATTCCAGGTAAAATGAGAACATGCCACATGGACATATAGCTGTGTAATGCACACAGAGGTCTAAAAAGTCAGTATAGGAGCAATGCATTGCACTTATGCTTTCTTAACATCCAGTTTGGTGCATCCCTAAGTGAAAAGATATATTAAGCTGTTGATGGCTGACTTCAAGTATGTCACGGACAGGTGACAGCAAATACAGTCTACAACCTTTCGTCACTGAGTTCAAAGTCCAGTTCAACTCACAGGCAGAATGAGATTCACAGTCTAGCCCTTCATTCCTGAAACTTGCTTACATTTTTTCATAGCTGTGCAATTGCATAACACAAACAATAATAGCTGCCAAAAACAGTGATAGAAATATCTATAGTGTCTGATTGACTCTCCTTGTATTATCAGGCACTAGTTTGACATTTGCCTGACTGATTGAATACCAGATGACAGAGAAAGTGGCAGGGTTTATACAGACATTTCTATTAGTTCTTTAAGTGTTTTTGACACAACAGTAACCTATGATCCTTAAAAATTCCATAGTGTAAATTATCCTCAAGTTTTCTACATCAAGTGGAATGAATTTAGTAACAGCAGGTTCTTTATTTATAAAAGAGATGAACTTGAATCTTTATTTCCCGTGTAAGCTCTATTATGCAGAAAGGTGCACAATTCCAGTGAGCACACACTCACTGATAATAGGACAAGCCTGGGAGCTGCTGTTGTGCCAGCTGCAAAGCCATGAACCTAAAGAATAATTTCCACTGCCAAACAGGGAACTAGCTTTCCCTTTGAACTTCGGGGGAAATGAGGATAAACTAGTTATTAAGAGATGATGGTTCAGTATCATCATAGCACTTTCTAAAATCTAACCAACAAGCCAAAGCACTAGATACAGCTACTTATTTACTTCCAAAAGTATAGCTATGTTTAGCTCCAAACAAATACTTCCACATGCATGGCTGAAAAAAGCTCAGAAGGCATAGCAGTTATTTTGAAACCTGCATTTCCATCAAACATGTTCGTTTATTTATATATTTCCACTTTCCTTGAAGTATTGCCCACACAAGCGGCATTTCCCACCTTCAAGAATAACCATTAATTTCACACCGCAGTGTTATTTCTAGAGATATAATTACATGGAAAATAGGTATTCTTTATTAAAAATATAAAGGTAGGCTAGGTAGTTATGACTGGTAGCAATTCAGGAGCATAGGCTTTCTTTTCTTTTCCTTTCCTTTCCTTGTTTGGCAGTTAATAGAAGCTTCTGGTTACGTACAGGAGTGACCTGATCCCAATGCATTTTGAATGCTGCAACAAATGATGCAGAGAGGTACTGACTCGTCCGACTGAAACTGCTCCATGCAAGACAACTGCAATATGTATTCTCCTAAGTCTTGGCATGCTCTGAATGGAGACATATTCTTATGATTAATTTTTTGTCAGATAATCCCTATTTCTTTTTTTCTCTTTGTATTGCTTAGAGCAACTGAGATATACATTGTTATGTATTACGCAGAGGACTCGAGAGCCCTCAGAGAGGAAAAGAGGCTATTCTTATGGATCACAACCATGTGCAGATCCACAAGCCTGTGCCAAAGCTGAATAAGACCAGATATACTCCTAGTACTTTTTTCTTTCTTTTCCATTTCATCCTACAATCCATGTTATTTCTCCCCTTTTGCCTTGGGCGATGATGCACCTAATGCAACATGTCACTAACAAACTGGCCATGTCAGCAGAGCCTCTGAATCAAAAGCTGAATGTATCCTGCAGACTTTAAATTACAAAGCACTGTTCCACCATAATGATATTTCTCTTGGGATCCAACCACCTCCAGGACAATAAAAAGTCAAAAAGACAGAACGCATGCACACGGAGTGATTCAGTCCAGCTTGGGGCCAACACACCGCAGAAGCTGCACATAAAGCAAGGCAAAAGGGAGGAAGAGAAGGAAAAGAGAGGCAAAAAAAGGGAATGTGTGTGAAAGGATGGGAGGTGGAAGAGAAAAGCGATGCCTATCACCTGCATCCAGCAGGAAGAAGGTAATTTTACCAATGTGGATTTTTCTGTGCGACTGGTTCACTGCAGCCATTAAATTGACTGTTAATTACAATGTGGGTAAATACCACCTTTAAGAAAGGGAAATTATCTCCACATTTTTATGGAAACAAATCCTCAAATTCTTTAACTTTGTAAAGCACCAAACTTGTCTGCTCCTTTATTGTGGATTCCTTATGAATTTCTGAAATTGTCACTTTCCACTATCTAAAACTATAAATATATTTGCTTCGAAAATAAGTGCAGAGAAGAAGAAAGAAATGTTACCATGGCAAAGTTTAGAAATATAGTTGAATCTTCAGCATTGAAAACAAACTTAAAGGTACAGAAAAAAGTCAAACCTAGGGTGCATCAAACGTGGAACCACATACCAATAGAAGGTGGAGACGAAGAGCTACAGCTGGCAAAAGAAGTTTTCTAAAGAAAAATGGATTTTTGACTGAAAGAAAATTTTCAAAGACCTCTGTTGCTTAGAGGACACAACCTCCTGCTGTTTGTGATGTCTCTGGAAAGGAGACTTATTCTGTGAGAACTTTCACTCAGAATTCCTGTTGGTGGGAAAGACAACAACTTTTGTTGCTGCCTAGTACCGGCTACTAAAAATTATGCAGTTAAAATTAGCTTCTTTCATTTCTAATGCTCTGAGGAGCAGCATTAAAAGTGATTCCATATGTTCGATAAATTCCATATCCTCTCTTGATGCTACTGCTAAGAAATCTAAGACTGCCTGCTCACCCCAAAAATCAAAACTGATAACCACAAAGAGGACACGAACACCAAGTCTCAATTAAATCCGTAGTAGACAGGGGTTTTAGTAAAACACAACAGACCTGTATTGCAAAACCTATAAATTGCCTGTAAGAGCCTGAATTTATCAGAAGCAACAATAGGCTGCTAAAACAAGTAAAAAGGAGAGGAAGGATGGAGTGACAAGATAAAGACTTAATAAACACATTGATAGCGGAGTGAAACTTTCCTAAGTGATTCTTAATTGTTATTAACAACTGCTTACCCCAAAGGCATTCTTCAGAGCATAGCTAGAATATGCATTTTTTTGTGTGTGCATGTGGGCCCAAGACTAGAGATTCATAGATTTTTATTTCTGCAGATGGATAAGGGGCGCTTGCAAGCAAATCAAAGCTGCCTGCACGGAGCCACTTCCTGCTGGTGACTAAGGCTTCGCCCAAACAGTTAAGAGGAAGGGGCATAAAGTAAAGCATTGCAAACTACCATCCTGCTTCTATCAGGCTGGAGACAACCAGGACAAACAAACTCAGGAAGTGGCAGGGAGTTAGAAAACGAGAGGAAATCCATGGCACAGAGAGGAAAGTGAAGAGATTGCGCGGATCTGCAGCAAGGTCACCTCGAGGTCACACTGTGCCAAGCTGGTTCAAAAACGCTTTATTTGTACTATAATGCAAAACTGGCACACACAGCTGGCGATTGCCGCAGAGCCTATTCAAATGGTAACATTCGGAATGATAAACAGCCAAAAAAGTTCTATGTAAGCAAATTGGAACAAACAACTAATCTAAATCTGGTTGCTAAGAGATGGAGGATTCCAGCCAAAACCAGCCCTAAGCCTCAAGAATACCTTAATTTGGATTAAAAAAAAAAAAAGTACCTGTAGATGACGCCATGCTGATGGAGAAACATGAGTGCTGATGTGACCTCTGCTGCATAAAAGCGGGATCGAGGTTCGTCAAATTTGCGTGAGCGCTGGATTTGAAACATTAGGTCTCCTCCATTTACATATTCCATGACGAAGAAGAGGCGGTCCTGAAATTAATTAAAAGAGCGCTATTTAGCTAATTTCTTTTAGTTACACAAAGGGCTGCTTGAAGCCACACTTTAGGAGACAGCAGGATTTGCGTCAAGAAGTGAAAGAAACAAACGCTACAACTCTGAAAAAGGAAAAGCTGGCAACCAAAACTCCAGAAACCTAAAAAGGCTGAAAAAAGGAAAAGTGAGAAATAAGGAAAAGGGAAGAGAACTGAAATGTAGTAATAAGCAGCCAACACGCACATATATACCTATGCATCCATATATACACACAGAATGTACATATGGAATTATAATCAATTATGTACAATAATGGCAATATTTACATGACACTATTTATTTTTAAAATTACTCATAAGAATAAACAATAAAACTACTCAAGGCCTGCCGGACAACTTTCAGGCTTATTATTTCTTCGCTTATCTCTTACCAACTACTTCGTCTACAAAATATTTTTCACAAATTATGTAGAAAAAAATCAGCACTGTTAAACTATAGAAAACAATTTTGCCAATCCTAAACACTCAATTATGGTTATCTGAATTGCCTCAAACTCTCTTAACATATTGCAATCTAATTAGATTATTTAAATACATATTGACTTCTTTCCTTCTGATGCTTATCACTTCAAAGCTCAAGTTTTTAAGCTGTTCTCCATGTCAGAGGACTAGAAATAAACTCTGCTTGTAAACAGTAACTATTTGCAAATAACCACTAGGTAACTACCCCATTTTGGTATGTTTAAGAAAACAAAAACAAATATAAGCATGCAGTGAAACAGTGAGGCTTGAAAACAATAATAAACTAAATGTGTGCTTGGTATTACATGGTAGGAAGGTCTGTAAGCATCGAGCCTAGGAGTCCTTTCCAAATTTCACATAACATCCCAGTTTGGGTCTAGCTCAAGAAGGGTTGAAGAAGAAGAGACAATATGTGGCATTGCTTTGGATGAGCAAAACCAGCAGAAGATGGAAGTTAATTAACCTCCCACCAGTGAATCCAAGCCTGCAGATTACATAGTTTATAGATAAGAGTCCAGAAATTCATAAATGTTTGCTGCTTCTCTTTAATCAACTACTCCAAGACTCAGATTCAAAGCATAGCACTTCAAAATATGCTTAACCTTAAGCATGTACATTAATTCTGCTCATTAAGTGCCTCAATACTATACTTATCAGGGATGTTTCCTGGAGGAGGCTAGAAATGTTTGGCTGACTTTTTACTGATTACAAAAAGAGGATGCAAGAAAAAAAATTAAAACTGTGCTTTTCCCACCCTACCTTAGGGCACAGAAACTGCCAGACTGGACAAATTCAGGATCCAGTTGGACTTGCATTCTGGCATTGGCCTCCATAAAAAAAAAAAACAGTTAACAAGACTGAGATATAGCTGGTAATGAATAGCATCGAAGCTTCAGGCTGTGTCTCATACTCAGAAGAGTGCAGGCTTAGAACCCTGCCTGTGTTCCTCTTGCAATGCTTGATATCACTGATCTGAAATACTCAAAATCATGATGCAGAAATCTCAACATTTTCATAGGATTTACAGATCTCTCCTTTGCTTGCTTCAAGCAAAAACACAGACCCTAGTGTGATCTCATTTCTCTCAGGAACCAGTGAGAATTACAGCTTTGAATTTAGAAGAAAATCTGATCCATCTTAGCTAGTCTTACGATTTCTGAAGCTAGAGTTTAAGGATACCCAACTTAGCTATTTGAGTTGCCCGTGTAGCATGAGAGAGTCTTCAGAAGAGGCAGGCACTGCCTTCCGTTAGGCTCCTCATCACTGCTCTATAGACAGAGTGTCTCTGAACGAGTCCTTTTGCTCTAACTGTTCCTCTGCAACATGCTGCCATCTTTACTGTGCCTTAAATTAAAGATACAAGTCAGTTTTCCAAGCACAAAAAAAGGTTTGGACGGCAGGCCAGGGAGCATCTTTGATGAACATTTCACTAAGTTAACTTTTTCTAACACTTACTGAAGTTGAGCATCTTACATTGCTATTTTAGCCTTTCCAAAGTCAGAAGTCTAGATGCGAGGGGGCAACAACAGGAGAAGGAAGCAGTGATTCACGTTCCCAACGCTGCTGCCCTTTCATTGCACCTCTAGCACAAGCATGAGGTGATGTGGGTGCAACGTGACCGTGCCGCGGCTCACAGCTGTCACCTCAAGCAGGGTGACACGACCTGCCACCGAGCTGGGAGCTCCTGCTCCCGAGAGCGATACTGCTGCTCTTCCAGCTCCAGGGATGGCACACAGAGGTAAAAAGGCTGCCCTGCACAATTTTCTAGATGATAACTCTTTTTTGATGTATCAGAATATCTATTTAACCACTTTCATATTAAACACTTCCACGTCTGATCCCAACAGAACCCGTGTTTATTTGTGACATTCACCCAAAATTTAATTGCCAACTCTAAATATCAGAAATTACGTTCTGCTCTAATTCTTTCTTTTGGATTAGTACCTTCTAGAACATTTCCAGTTTAGCTGACTGGAAGTTAATCTGGATTTTTTAGCAAAATATCATGTCATTAGAGAGTCGGAACTAAGAATTTAGCAGCAGATCTGTTGCCAGATTTGGATAATGCTAAGTCTCCTATGCTCTTTCATATCTTTCTTAGCTGCATCCCATCCTCCATAGGAAGGAGTATTTCTGCCACATTCTAGAGCTTAGCTGATCATCTCTTCAAAAGTACAGATATTGAAACTTGAACTAACAGTCCTGAGGCTGAAATGACTCTGCTGTTGCATTTTTTGTTATACAACACTTCTCCCTGCTTGAGTAGGGAGGTTGGACTAGATGAGCTCTAGAGCCCCCTTCCAACCTCAGCTATTCTGTGAACAACATTTCGAGCTACTTTTCTAGCTCTCCTGGGTGCAAGTTTCAGCTTCCTAATCAGAATTCACAGCAAAAAATATGACTCTAAGTTCTGCTCTCTCCTCTGCTTTTCATGAATTTAGCACAGAATTGAATGTTTAGAGGAGAAGAATACTAATTCTCAAGCACTAACATGGGATAAACAAGGAGATGCACAACATTTACATGCACAGCAGATAAGTGTTTCAGCATTAGAACATACACTCTTTTTGGATGAAATATACTCAGTTCCTATGAGTACTACTTTTCTAAAACCACTGTGTGGTCTTTGGTTGGTAAATCCATTTTTCTTTTAACTTTCATAACTGCAATAAGAGAAAAACTTTTTTTTTGCGCTACTTACTCTTTTTTTCCACCATATTTTCCACTAAAATTTAACATTCAAAATAGAGGTTCCTAATACTATGAATATGCAATTTCTCTCATACTGTACGAACACATACACACAGAGTTACACAACAAGACATTAATGAGAACAGGATTTCATCCTCCAGTAGTAGCTATGAAGCAACCGAATTATGCCTGCTAATGTATATCTTGCTACATGTATTTCCAGGACATTTTCAACCCTTAGAAGTAGGAGAATATAGAGTGAATGCCCTAAAATTATACATTATTAAGGGAAAACATAATGTTTATTCAGCTAAAAATGAGATACAAGGTATGACTTTATCGTTGATTGTGTTCCAAGGGAAAATTGAATGGGGTTTGGTTTGGACTGGATTCTTTTTGGACGGTGCTTTCATAAAATTTGAGAAGCATATTTTGATGAATAAAATAAGCGTAAAAGCAGTCCTGGGAACTCTTTAATTACATAAACTGAAAGAAAAGGAAAGATCACAAAAGCATTATAGATTAATCCTGTCTTGGCATCTATAAAGCAAAGCAAGTATTGTAAAGTAAGCCAATATGTTTTCTGAAGTAATTAGATTCTTTTACAGCGTTTATTTACTCCCTTAATCATACCTGTTTTTCCTTGAATTTTTCAAAAGGTTTGGCTGAATGAGAATAATAATAAATGGAAAGAAAAACAGAAGAGAGAGTGTGGGTAAGAGTTTTTAAAACTGAAGAGGACATGGAGTAAACATGGAAGTCAAGACAAAAGAAAAGTTCAACTTTGTATTTCCATAGTATTTTCTGACTAACTAGTATATTGGAATGGATAAACGCCTGTCTTTAAACCCCTGTTTTCCCATCTCACCTCTTGACTTCCTTAATTCAAATACTTTCCTGAATGCTTTATGGTGTCTCCAAAAAAGTGGACTACAAAAGGAGCGTCCTTTCTTCTGGTCTCTGCCCCTTCTGGAGAAGAAGCATACTTGTTACTTAAACTGGAAACCTAGTTTTATCTTCTTTCTTTCTCTGCTCCCTTAACTGTCACCCAATCTTATTTTTCACCGTCCTTGATACTTAAGATAGCTGTTTCAGCTCTATAGCAAATGCTTCTACCAAAGCTTTTACTCGTCATTTTGATTACTACCACTGCCTCCCCTCTTCAAAACCACTTTCTCTAATTTGGGGGTTTATTTGTATATGTTTTGTTAATACAAGCCTATATTTTGTTTGCCATCCTTCTCCTTTATATTTCCTTGGTTTTAAGTTTTAGATTTTTGTGAGTTCTAATGGATAGACATTTTTTCTTTCTTTCACAATAAAGTACAAGTCTTTAACTGGGAAAAATAAAGTGAATTCCAAAAAATATTTATAGTGATAAACTTTTAGGACATAACTAGAATCAATCCAGTTCCTTACTGTGGAGGTGTGATTAATGACCAAGAACTGTCAGCTAGTAAGACCAGATACTCTTGCCAATTGGTTTTAACAGATGGTCCTATATATCTCTGCCTACCAGTTGTTTAGATGTGGAATGATACCATTGTTGATACCATGTAAACCCCCTATGAAAGCTTAGACATAGAATGACTTTGATGTATTGTTTATATCAATTACTGCGTAGCCCTTTAAAAATGTTAAACAATTTAAAAAATTGTTATCGCTCATTAATCTGCCTGTCCTTTGTTTGTTTTCCAATTAAATCTCTCTAACATTAGAGATTGCAGCTTGAAGACAATGCATTGACAGACATAGGGCTGGGTACAATTACACTGGCAATCTGAAGAGGAAAAAAATCAGTTGTAAGCTGGGGGAT